AGTGCTGACATTTTAAACTTCTGTGCTTCCAGGTGACTTGTATCATGAGACATCAGCAGAGTACCGCGTTGGCTCCAGCGTGGAGAGGCTCAGCATCATTGAAGTAAGTGCTTCGGTTTCTTGTAACGAGACCCTTTGTTGCTGGAATATATCTGTGGGGTAAACGGGATAAACAGCTCCCTTTGCTGCGAGCGGTGTATTGTCTTTGTGTGTCATTCGGAGCCGCACCGGTGTGCTGTGTACTTCATGGCTAGGTTTAAGGGATTATTTCACCTGTCTTTTGAACATCATATAGATAATGCTCTGTGGTTTGCAGGCAGTGTCAGGTATCCAGCTGGAAAAAAAAAACCTAATCCTGTGGGGATAACAGCAGCCTGAGGCACTGCTGGGTAGAGCTATCCTGCTAATGCCAGATTGAGCTAGCATGGATGTGGGCGTGGGAGAGTCGCGTTACTGCAGCACCGCACCAAGGTGCAGGCTGTGGCGGTCCAAGTGACATAGCTCGGCTGTAGCCTGTACTTTGGAGGTGCTCAAGGTCTTGTTTGGAAACCAGTTATAGTGTAGCCTGTATTAGCGCTCTGGATAAAATAATAAATAATAACGCACCCACCCACCCCAGCTTTCTAGGCTTGCATATAGAGGCTTTTGCAATCCAGTGTCCTAGTGAGACAGTGCATTTTGGAGTGGCTGTACTCATCCTACCCTTAAAGCATCTGCCTGTCTGTGCTGCAGACATGATGTAGCTACTTGCAGAGTGCCTAAGTTATGTCATGGTCTATCAAAGACCATGAGCGTGGTTTTGGTATTACTCTGTGTGCCAGGCTGTAAGTTCATCGTGGTTAGGCTTTTTTGTAATTGACTGAGAGCTCAAGGGCCATGGGGAGAGTGGGTGGCTGGGGACAGGAATGGCTCTAACCACTCAAGATAATAAGCAAGTCACAGCCCTAAGACTTCTCTTAGAGCTCAAAATGATGTGGAGAACTTGTTGTCTTCTTCAGAGGGCTGTACAAACTCAACCCTCTCCCGTTTCTGCCTTCATTTTAGAGAAAGAACATTTTAGAGAAAGACTTCCAAGTGAGATGAAAAAGACAGTTATTTGTAGTTGTTTGCAAACAGTCTACTAAAATAGTATGAAATTCCTAGCCACCATTGCAGTGATTTTCAGGTTAAGAGCCTCCATCACCAAAAGGTAGTTCAGGAATCAGGTGTCTTAGGAGACTCCAGACCTTACAAGAAAGTTCTAAATAGCCACCTCCACCCCTAAACTAATCAGCAGTTGCTTGCATGTTCCCCACTTCCTTCAAGAGCAGAGGTTAATGAACTGAAAGGGAAAGGTGCCTCCAAATGACTTCTGATAAACTTCTGGATGATCTGAGCTTGGTGACTCATGTTGTTCTCCAAATGAGCACTTAAAACATTTGTCTGAAAGAAAAAGCAGTGCTGAGATGCTGAGAGCACTCCTCCCATGCCTCCAGCCAGGCAAAAGTTCACTTTGCAGGTGCTGTAAACTGGAATCAAGAGAAGGTTTAAAGAGCTGGCATTAATACAGTGTAATGGTACTAAATAATTAAAGGCCATTCCTATGCAGGAGGTCTGGAAAACCTTTATTACAGACTTGGGTGTGAATTTTAATACTTCTGGTGGGCTGTGCATTAAGATATGCTTTAACATTATCTGGTAAAAATGTAAGCTAGTTGTTAGGTTGCTAAAGTGTGCCTGGGCATGCTTTCCTCCCACCAGCAGGTTTGTCAGGGACTCAATCACTGCTCAAAGGACAACAGGTGACTAAAGATGCGAAGACGAGAAGAATTTGCTAAACGGAAAATACTGCTTGCCTTCCACACCTCTTCCCGATGGTTATTTCTCTGCCTCAACAAGGAGTTGCCCAGAACGTTATCAAATGTTGTCTCTGCTAGCAGAAGGGATAAGGCACAGGAGGAAAGATCAGTACCTGATTTCACATGTCTCAAAGGTGTTGGGGTGGGGAATTTGAGTCTGTGTGGGAGCCATAAACACCGAAAGCTCTGGTCGAGAATAGATATTAAAAATAGTTACTGCTCTGTTGTGTTATATATGTGACCAGTACAAATGGATGCTCTTGTACCTGGTCCTGGGGCATCAGGATTGGGCTTACAGCTGTTCTGGCAGGGCACTTCATGATAACCCACTCTGGAGTTCACATGCAGTTCCCTTCTTCCCCCAAACTACAGCCTGTCTCTTTAGGCAAGCAAAAGACCTGGACAGCCAGAATAAAAATCTTTACTGTGTTCATGCAGCAGTCTCTCAGCCAGATGCTGGCCAGTCCTTGGGTCATGGGGTCTTGAAGTTTTTTTCTCTTCAGTTCCTCTTTTGCAACAGTATAGGCAAGTCTGAAGTCTTATTTATAACTTCTGTCATAGGCAAACAGATGCAATGACTGATCTTTTCCTACAACTTCTTTCCCCAGTAACTTGCCACTTGCTGACCTGTTTGATCTCATTTGTTAATTTTGCTGAATGTATTTTACTGTCAACTGCTGCAGCTGAGCTCAGCACCCCAACAGAAAGCAACACCCATCTTTTATTTCTTTATTTTTCCACCCTAGCGCACACAAATAATGTCTTTACTGCTGCCATGTTTTACCTGGTTACAGTTTTATGGAATTTTTTTTTACTTTCACCATTCCTTCTGCTTAGGATAGTCAGTTACACTGAGGCTGTGTGTATGCATTTGTGCATGCACATATGTAGGATAAGAGACCTGGAAGGAGTAGTCAGGTTCTCAGCTGTTTTATCTGTGTGTATCTAATGCCCATTTCCATAAATTAAGCACATTCCTTCTTGAAGACAGTTTAGTTTCTTACCTGCAAATCTGCAGATGTTATTCTAAAACCTCCTACCTCCTGTGTCTAGAGACCTGATTTTTCAGTCTACACTACTCAGGATCAGTTTAGACTCTTGTGTTTGCACCTGCACTGTCCTTTGACTTAAGTGCCTCTCTTCCCTCCCTGGCTTTCTTTACTCATCTCCATTGTGTTTGAGAGCAGGCATTTCATTCTTGTGTAGCTTTGCGAAGCAAATCAAGCTGAACTCTTTCATTGTCTGTTCAGAAAGTCTCTATGCTTCTTGTCCTTCTGTGGTCCTTCTCACACTGCAATTATCTTCGTGTGTGGATGGCCCAAACTGAACTCGGCCTTCTGGACAGGGGCTTGCCAAGGCCTTGTATCGTGGCTAATACTGCTTCTGCTGGAAATAACCTTGCTTCACAGATTGTTGTTTGCCTCATCCCTGACTGGACTGGATGTGGATGGGGCATTTATTGTACGCACCGTGTGTGAGCTGGGGGAAGAAAAGGTGATAAAATTTGCTTAAAGTCCACTTGGACCAAATAAAACCTCTTCACAAAATAAGCCTTTCTACTGTGCTGTCTTTCATTCCCACCTAGGATGAATCAGTGCAGCCATTAATGCAGCCAAGTAAAATCCATGTCCTCCTCTTGGTACTCCATGGAGGGAACATCTTGGACTCAGGAAGCGGTGACCAGAGCTCTAAGCAAGGGGATGTCAACACCATCACGACAGTGTTTGACACAGTGATGAGGGTACATTACCCAGCTGCTCTTGGACACATTGCCATCAGGCTAGTACCTTGCCCAGCCATTTGCTCCGAAGCATTTTCGCTGGTGTCCAGGTAAGTTGATGCTACTTTGTCACAGAGAGACACGTATAAAATTTCGCTCTTGATTTTTGGGGTTTTTTTTATTTGCTTGCCTGAAATGTTCTGCATGTAGTATTGAAAGCTCTGACCATGCTTTGAGAATGTACTTATTAATATACTAGGGAGGCATTCAATCTCGATTTCATACTTAGCTGCAGTGAATACAGTAATCATGCAGCAAGAGTTCTGAGATTGATTTATTCTAATTAATCCAATAAATACTGAGGCTTTAATTCCTTGTCTGAGGGTTGTTCTGTCAATGTAAGTATGTTGTCCTTGAAGATTTACATTTGATGGGAGGGAAAGATTTATTAAGCTCTCACCCATTTACAGTGGAATAAATGGCCTTTCTATCTTGAGGCTTTCTTTTAACGCACCACAGGACTGACTGTCGTGTCTGCAGATGGTTTTCCCCATTCTGTGTGTTAGGCTGAATATTTCCAATGTCTCTTGCCCTGTCCAGCCTCAGCCCATATAGTTACGATGAAGGCTGCCTGTCCAACAGCCAGGATCACATTCCCCTTGCTGCACTCCCTCTGCTAGCAACATCATCCCCGCAGTACCAAGAAGCAGTAGCCACAGTCATTGCCAGAGCCAACCAGGCCTACAGCGAGTTCATCAGATCCCAGGAGGGCATGTCATTCAACGGCCAGGTGAGCCAGCAGCTGAAAGGGAGAGCAAGTGAAGCAATTTCCTTCTGAAGCTCTCTTTTCCATTAATCTCTCAGGAGGGATGGAAACATGACAGTGTTGAGCTGCAATAACAAAAATGTTGTGCTTCCATTTCTTTCTTTCTGAGAGAGATTATTGCTTACGCTCTGTCCCAAGCCTTTGGGATTCAAAGCGAAGTCTGAGCTTGTGTTCAGAAATGAAGCTACAAAGCTGTGAAGTTAATCAATTTTCAGCACGACACACCTTTCCAAGTCAGGAATGCTACCTTTGTTAGTAAAGATGATGTCTGCTCCCATTGCAAACCAAGGCTTTTTAAGCATTCCCCATCTTTAAAGGACCTTCAGCAGCTCACGCTGGAGTTGAAGTGGGTTTCTTTTTTGAGACTCTGCAGCTGCTGCACCCTATAAAAGACCATGACTGAGCCTTACACCTCTGACCAAAGTGACTCTCTAGCTCTGCGAGGTTTGAGCTATTGAACTAGCTGCTGTGTTGCACTGCTGTAGTGTCATTTATCCACCCTGAGCTTCTTCCCAGCCAGCGCTGTGCCCGGGGCCCTGGACATCCCTCTCCTACCCAGGACTCTCAGTGCTTTTTATTGCACCTGTCTGCTCACTTTGCTCAGAGGCAGCACAGCCTGACCTCCTCAGGGTATGAACAGGGGGCAGAAGCACAGGGAAGCTTGCCTGAAGTAGCACGGACAGCTGGCAAGGAGGGAATCAAGCTTGGTTTTCTGAGGCTGGAGTTAGCACCATGATCAGTGCTCTCTGTTGCTTTCACTTCGCTCCAGTTGGCTGGTGGGGACAGCCAGAACTCATTAGCTATGTGAGCTAATGACACTCTGCAGGGTATGAGAGGATGGTCATCGACAGAGTAGTTTTACTGATGAAAGCACTGGGCATCCTGTCACTGTAGCTTTCCTGGGTATAATCCATCACTCCGTTTAACTGTCATCTCTGAACTGAAGTCAAGGGGCTTTTTTCCTCCTCCCCTACTTCTGTTGCCTTTTTCAGGTCTGCTTGGTAGGGGACTGTGTTGGAGGAATCCTGGGATTTGATGCCTTATGCTACAGCAATCAGACTGTGTCCGAGAGCCAGAACAGCAGTCGGCGAGGAAGCGTTGTGAGTGTCCAGGTAATGCTGGCTCCCAGTGTCTACTGGGAATAGGTCTGCTGGCTGCAGCGCCTCTATGGCTCCTGTTTTTAGTAAGGATCTTCTCATGAAACAACAAAGACTCCATTCCTTATCAACGGCAAAGGTGTCTTAAGGTGCATACAAGTCTCAATTTAGGTGCATTTGCTCTGAACAGGGATGCTTCACTCTCTGGTGTGAAGCTTCACCCACACCCTTAGGAAGTGGTTTGGTCTGAGATACGGTGTTGCCCTCAACTGGATCTTGGGGTAGATGGGGAAAGGAGGATGGAAAGAGAAGGTTATAATGTGGGTGTATTCCTGATTCAGCTGCCTGAGTGCTAAATCCATGTATTTCAAATTGCAGGATACAGACCTTCTGTCTCCTGGAATAACGGTGAACAACAGCTATTGTTCCAGTGGCTCTAATCTGGAAGCCAGCAGACACCTCAGCAGGAGCAACATTGATATTCCCCGTAGCAACGGAGAAGATTCAAAGAAGCAGCTGCCACGAAAAAGGAGTGATTCATCAACCTATGAACTGGACACGATAAAGCAGCACCAAGCCTTTCTTTCAAGGTAAGATTTTTGACGGACAGACCCAGCAATATTCAGGAGCTGAGATTGGTGCATCTGTGAAACCCAAATGTTGCTTTGTTATCCTGTGATAAGCAAGGTGGAGGAAAGCATTTAATTTAGAGGGGTATAGATTTCAGTGTGTTGTCTATGCAAAAAAAAAAAAAAAAATTAACAGCACTATTGCTCAGTGGCAGTGAGAGAATCCAGCTGCTCTACTGCATCTGTATTACAATAGCAAGAAACCCTTCATCCTATTGCTTGACAGCCGAGGCAGTTGGGTAACTGCATCTTTGCTGTGCTGCAGCTGCAGGATGGAGATCATAAAGCAAATGTAGAGACAGCATGAAGGAAGAGGGTGAAGCAGAACTGGGAATCCAGTGTTTTAATTTCAAAGCACCTCTGAAAGACGATTTTTGAGTTGGCTGGCCTGTTCTTGGGAAAGGTGGGGGTGAGCTGAGTATGCCTTTAATTCTGGCCTAGTTCAAGTGTGAGATTGAATTGCAGTGCCCTTTCCTGTTGCAGGAGCAGGTTTATGCTGTCATAGTGGCAGGATGCTCTGGATGAGCCATCCTGAACCCTAGCTGGTTGGCTGGTTCATGGAGCAACCTTCAACTGCACGTGAGGATTGTTCTGCCTGTGTGACTGTTTGGCAAAGCGACCCGAGTCCCCTGTATGGAGCAGGGACAGGGAATTGTATTCTGTCCCCTGCCAGGGCTGCTCTGTTGCACCAAGGTCGTGTTTCAAATTTGTTACTCGCTGTTGAAGCCCCCAAGATCACATTCCTAAGCTTCTTCAAATGGACTTTCAGAAACTGATCCATTAACATAACCGATGAAATTTTCATAGCAGTCTTTCCGTTGCCGCTGATTGTTCAGCGATTACTTCTGTAAGCCCGGAGGCTTTTTCTGGCTGAATCATCTTCAGCCTGTGGAACTGGACAGCCCAGACCTTTTCCCCCTGCAGGCCTGGAGGAACTGCAGCATCCTCTTAATCCCTCTTCCTCCATGTCACAGATATTGGGGAGCAATGTCCCACCCAGCAAACGCCATTATCTGCATTGCAACTGTGCCCGAGGCTTGTCCTGCACTTCTGCCCCTCCTTCACTACTTGCAGTCGTTGCTCCAGCACAGGGTCTCATGTTGTCCTGCCATGTCAAGGGCTGTTCTGTAAAAGATTCACAGGAGAGAGAAAGTATCAAAGTGAATGTCGTCGCTGCACAGAGATACTATATTCAGAAAGACAGCTGCATTTACAAAAACCACAATAAGCTTCTCGGCTATTTCCCAGCAGGTTAATAAAAGGCAATCAGTCTCTTGTTTTTACCTTATCAAAACAGCCTCCTGTATTACAGGAGAAAATACGAGTCATGTAAAAATGTGCTCTTTTTCCTCCTTGTTCTTGACCTCAGGAGCACGGACTCAGTTAAGGAAAGTGGGCTGGCATCTTGCTGCAGTTTTACATCCAGTTTAGAATAAGTGCTGGGCCTGGCATGGATAAGGGAATGCAGTTTGTTTCAAATAGCTTTGTCCTAGTCCCTGCTGCTCCACTGTGCCTGCTCCCAACATGAAGCACCTGGGGGGAGCCTGGCAAGGACTGTCAGTGTTCAGTGCGCTGATGGATTGGTGCACCTTTATATCTTTTAAGGTTTTATATCTTTTTTTTTTTTTTTTTTTTTTTTTTTTTTTAAAACCTGCCTTTAGGCCTTAGGTCAAAAATGGGTCTCTCCCCACAGCTCAACAGCCAGACTCCCTCAGGGAAAGGGGCAGGTTGAAGCTGCTGTATGAGCTCTCTCCGCATCTCTCCCCCCCGCTCCCTGGTGCAGGGGAGGCTGGGGTGCAGTGATTCACCTCTTCCCCTCGTGTGTGACAGCAGGGTGTCACACTGGGACCTGGCCCTGGACCTTGTGCTTACAGCCGTCGTTACTGAGCAGCACACTCATCAGCAGAATGCCCCTTCGGCCTCTCTGTCACTAAGTAATGATTTTTCCCGTACGAAAACTGAGCCCTGATGTGATGCGGCTTCACGCAGGAGATTGGCAGAACAGAGCCAGGTTTTCCTAATGAGCTCAGCAGACGGGCAAGCTGGCATATGGGGGCCTTTCTGTCCGTGCCGATTGCAGATTTCCACTTGTGCCGAAGACACTCAATTTTATTCATGTATCAGACCTACCCGCTTCCCTGGGATAATGCCCAGCAAGCCAGAGCAGCATCTGGAGATTACAGTCACACATTTATTTTTAAATTCAGTCCTTCTGCACAACTACATTATTTCTGGCTGTGCTGTACTTGTATTATTGTAAATGAGTTGATTTGCTTCTGAAATCCATAAGCTCTTGTTTAATTAATGCACACAGTACATCTGCTGCTTTTTAAAGGGAGAACAGGGCACTGTAGGTTGCTTGGAGCATGACAGATTCAGAGTTCCCCTTGGCTCTCATTTCTTTTGATTGCTAAAAAGACTATCAAGTTCCCAGTAAAAGGAGAGAAGCTGTCCAAATTGCTTAGCAGTATGAGTGCTCTCGTTCTCTTCTGTTCCCCCTGAAGAGATGCTGTGGGAAGATGGGTGGAATACACCAAAAAACCCTTGCACCCATCCTGCCTTAGCACATCTGCCATCAGGATAGTCTTTCCTTTTGAGCCTTCGTTTGAATGACGTTGCTGTCGCTCTGTCTTTGGCAAAACTGAACGTGTTCTAAATAACGTTGTATTCCTTACACACAGCAAACAATGCATTGCAGTCTTGTCAGCTAAAATAATTGTAGCTTCACTGAAGGTGGCTTGGTTTTAAACGTGTTTCAGTGTTGCGCCTCTCGGCAGCGTGATCTCGGGGAAGCTCATTCACATCACAGAAATGGGAACGCGCTCGTTTTAGCTGTCGCTGCTGTAACCTCCTGTTCCTCTCACTTTTGACATCACTGTTTTGACTTTCCATGATACGTATGTCTGGCATAAGTAAGCTTGTTATTTCCCTGCGGTTGGCAACCAGGAGAATAGTACTGTGCATGTGTGCACCTTCAGAGAATATGTGACAGTGAGGGATGAGAAGGATTTTTTTTGACATCCCTTGGGAGTGGTGGTCGGCAGAGGTGCTGTCTCTGGGATGATGCGTTATTTGCCAAAGCAGGAAAACAAAGTCCGAGTGAAACCCATTTTTCTTCGCAAATTTGTGAGTATTTGCAGCTGCTCATTTATTGAATGGCTATCCCAGAGGAGGAGTGTGTGTGAGCAACTGCTCTGGTGCTACAGATGGTGGGGAATGAGCACCCTATTTCCACGAGCACAGCAGTGCTGGGATGTCGCTGCCCAGTCGGGCAGCCAGCACGCTGTGTTCAGAAGTGGCCTTGATGAGCAAGTGCTATTGCATGCAGAGACACGGCAAGTGCTGGTGGCCACCTGGGATTTTGACTTGGGGCCACAGAGCTGGCAAGAGACTTGCATTTGCATCATCCCTGACTCCAGACCAGTAAACCTTTTATCCAACCCAACTGTTGTGGTATCCATTTATCCTCCATACTGTATAGAATCTGTTCAGATGCTTTTTAAAGTGTTTGCAAACACCCTGTTAAGTCACTGCTGGTACTCTGTCTTCAACTCTCCACTTCTAATTATAACGACGATAACCTGGCAAGGCTGCCATCTGAATCTGTAGAATCTGGAGAGCAGAAGAAATTGCAGCTTACTGCTTTTGGGTGGTAACAGAAGAATCTCAGAGACCCTTTTGTGAACCAGGTTATTAGTGTTACCCATCTGTCATTCCACTGTCTAATCCCAGATCTAGACTGCAAAGAAGCACAGCTTCCTAATGTGGGGATGGATTCCTGGGATTTTTCATCTAAGAGTTCCTGCTGCTTCTTCCTCAGTGTCTAAGCGATATGTGAATTTAAATCTCTGTGTTAAACCTGTGTATAGCCCAGCCTGCACTGCACACAGGTTCAATTTTACAAAGACATTTGACACCTGAAAGGGGTCGGGGGGGAAGCTAGACATGTTTTATCTCATTATTCTTTTTAAGTACAGTTACCTGGAGTTGTTGGGCTGGGGTTGAGAATTAGTTTGGTAGTAACTTGATGGATATGGCCTCATGGGCAGAAGAGAAGTAGGAGAGTCCTGGGTGCACAATAAATACAATTTACCATATGGCCACTGAGTTAATTACCCCAAATTCCCATTCCCAGTGAATGCCATATGCATGCATGGAAGCTGTGGTGCAAACTTGGTGCACAAGGATATTAGAAACCCTCTTGCAGATTTTGATCTTTCTTCTTCTCTCTCCTTTCCCGTTTTCTTTTTCCTTTTCAATCCTATAACATTTGTCCAACTACTTCCACGAGGAAGAAATGGGTAAGCACAGCTTTCCGTAACATTTGAGAATAAGGTGATGGAAGGAACTCAAATGTTGACAGTCAGAAAATGTAGCAGTAACGTGTGTAATGGAGTGAATCACTGTAAACCTTTTTCCCCTGCTTTTTTTCCCTGCTACTCTAGTAATTTTGGCTTGCTGGTTATTTTCTCTTGCAAACGACTGTTCTGCTAGCAATAACCAAGATTTTGACTCCTCAAAGGAAAAAAACATTTTGAGGAGATAGGAGTGTGTAAATGAACCCACTTGAAGCTTGGATTTGTACAGTCTAAATTATGCCAATGAAATGGGGTAATTTTGGGGGGGAATGTTTTACTGGCTAGTAAAACTACAGTCACTAAAGAGATAGAAATTATATTCACTGTCAATCACTTATCTGGCCTTCAATTATGAAAAAACAGCGTGAATAAAATTTTGACTTTCTTTCCTGTTCTTGTCCAGTTTACATTCTAGTGTGCTGAGAAATGACCCGGGATCCAGGCGATCAAGTAGCTCTACTATGTTGGATGGAGGAAATATTGGAAAGTTTGAATTTGAGATCACTGACTTCTTCCTCTTTGGTTCTCCCTTGGGTCTGGTTCTTGCCCTGCGAAAAACTGTCATTCCAGCTCTTGACAGTAAGTCCTGATGTAAACTGCTGAGCTCACTTACTGGATGGTGTAAGCACCTCCTGGTACAAATCCAGTAATGAGACAAACTGGTAAAACCCAAACATTTATGTATAATATTTATTGCACCACAATGAAGCAGATCATTGTGTGCTCTAGCCAGTACTGATTATACAATTTATTTGCAATGTACTTCCAAACATTAAAAATACTGGGCAATTCTTGAGTGTATAAATACTGTAATAAATTGTTTCAGTTGACTAAACTGGAAGATGAGGGAGATGATGAATCCTTAGCACTTTTTTTTAACCCAACAGTTGCCCTTTTTACAGACAAATATTTACAATATTCTAACAAATAACCTTTTGATACTTGAGGGAGTTTTTTCTTCATCTTTTTAGTCTTTCAGCTCAGACCAGCTTGTCAGCAGGTCTATAACCTGTTCCACCCTGCAGACCCATCTGCTTCACGCCTCGAGCCTCTTCTGGAGAGGAAGTTCTACCTTTTGCCACCCTTTAATATTCCCCGTTACCAGAGGTTCCCACTGGGTGATGGCAATTCTGCTGTTCTGGGTAAGTCACTTCGGATCCATATTAGCTGTCTAAAGGGTTATATCCACACTTTACATGACATTATCAAAGCAATTGGGAATGACAAGAAAGAGAATTGGCCCTATAATGTTAGCTTTATTCCTGATTTACCAGAAAAGTAGTTTTCTTCCAACAAGATCAGTGCCTTGTGACCCGTATGCCCTTCACTTGTCACACAAAGGCCATCAGCTGCTGTGAGTCATGATGCAGTGACCTCCCTGGGAAGGTCCCTGTCTTACACCCAAGCTGGTGCTTGTGGTTGGGACTGAATGAAACATGATGAACTTGGCTGAGTTTAGGACTTTGTTTGGAGGGGCAGTGAAGACTGGAAGGAGCAGAGTCAACAGTGAGATAATGAGATGATTTACTTGGTTGCAGCCTGTGCTTTTTCATGGGACAGGCTACTGCAGATCAGTGGGCTGGTAAACAGTGCCTTGCCCTTGCCACCTTGCCAATGAGACACTCTGTCTTCCTAGGATACTTAGGATTCCTCTGCCATCAGTGGCCTCTTCACTTACTCTCCCCCAATTGCAGCAGTAACAAAGTCTAAAATGGCTGTGTGCATGCCCTTTTGTCTTACTGGGTTGCATTTGAAACAACTGTGTCTTGACCATGCCCTGCCTCAGCTCCCATTACATCAGTGCTCTTGCAGTTGATATAATAAAACAAATTATATTTCCTACCATCTTCACCTCACTTCTGTGCCTAGACTCTCATGGTCTGCTGCCATTTCAGTGGAGGCTCTCATTGCAAGGAGCTCTCGGGGAAGCTCACCACTGTGCGGAACTAAATTTGACCTTTCTGCTTCACCTAAAGCTGTGATTCCCTGCAGGGTCAGGGCTTTGGGGCAGGAAGAAAAATTGCACCATAATTTTTCCCTTGTTAGAGTTTGTTAGTCAATGGCTACTTAAAGCCAACATTGCAACTAAGTGTCACTACTATAAAACTAGATTTACAGTACACAAAAAAAAAATCACGCTGGCAAACCAGAGCAGAGTATCAAAGCCACCAGCTAGAAAGACTGGGATTTGGTTGTTGGTTTTTCCCCAAAGCTCTGGTAGCTTTCCATTTGTTTAATATTTGAATCATGCAGGACTAAATGAAGAGGAATATGTATCTAGAGATGAATAATTCTGGTGATACTCTGCATCATTTTTAAATTGAAAATGCAAAGCAGTGGTCTCCTATGTTTCAGTATCTGTAAAGATTGTATTGTAATTGGTGAATCTGGAGGTCTGATTTGTTAAATGGATATAAACTGAAACCCAAGTTTAATAAAGCTAATAAAATACTTTCTGCAGGCCCCACTCACTTGTCAAATTTAGCAAAGATCTTGCTACAACACTTTTAAAAAATGGATCCACCCACCATTTGTACCCAGTCCAGTTACAACAGCTCAGGGAATCTATATCAACTTAAAAAGCAATTTGATTTTTGGGCATATTCTAGGTATCAGCTGCAAGTGGCTGCTTAAAAAACAAACAAACAAAAAACCCTCGTAAACATCTTACCTTCTTCTTCTTAAATACATTTCAAATCCCCTGTTCTCACTGAAGCCAGAGGTAGAAACCCCATTGACACTGAGCAACCTGCGTTCTGGTTATCATTCTGTGCAACAGCAGGGATCTTATTAGTTTGCTGTGCCTCCTTAGACCTTTGAGTTGGCTGTGTTTAGAGAGACACTTGCTATGTAGCGGAGAGGAGTTAAACAGCAATTAGCTCAACTATGAGAAGGGTAGTGATTTCAAAACCCTCTCCTGGTTTGAGCCTTGTTATTTTAAGAGATGCTGCTCTGCTGTGATGAATAAAACTGACAAAAAAGCAGCTTTAAATTCTACTCTTGTGTAAGACAAAGCCCCTTCATTTGCTTATCATAAAGTAACAGGCTATTCCTTTCCATTAGAGTCAAAATTTCAGTGTTGTGATTTACACACTACCCAGAAGGAGTGTTCTAACCATGATCTGCAAAGCCGCTACTGAAGTTAGTGTTCACTGTAGGGCGCTCCAGAAAAGTTAATTGCTGCTATAATTAAGCTATGTGATTTGGTGATCAGGTAAAATTCAGGTGCTCAGTCATAATTAGTTACATACAAAACCTTCTGTAACACTGCTTGTGCATATTTCCTTGTGCAGCTAGCTAGCTTTTTTTAAAGTCCACAATTCAGAAAGCCTCTTAGACTTTTTTTTTTCTTTTTCCCATCTGTATTAAATGTTGGGTCCCTGTTTCATTACAACCAACTTGCAGAGTGAAATCGCATTCACATCCCTGCTTACTCCTGTGCTTTGCACTGTGTAGGCTGTGAGTCTGATTCAAGTAAACCTCCCCTTACAGAATACTTTTTTTCCCCTCGTAGTTTCTCTGGATCTGCTGGGTATTTATGGATTTGGCTCATTGGAGAAGCTGGTTAAGAGGACTCCCTTTTCTTTTGTTGTTGAAATGCCATCGTTGTGCCTCTCCTCTGCTACCAGTTAATCTCTCTGATGTGGGTCTATTTGGAAAGTCACCCATGTTTTGTTTCTTTTAGTCTATTTGAAGGTTGTCTTTTCATTGAAGATTCATAGTTGAAGTGCTCAGTTGTAACTGTTTGTATGTTAACACTTTGTGGCCGCATGTCTGTTCTTTGTCCTTCTGTTTTGGTTTTTTTTTTTTTCCCCATCTGCTTCTAGTTGAGACAATCCAGAACAATCCCATCCTCCTCATGGAAAGTAGCCCTCTGGGTGCTCTCCAGCACCAGGACAGCTTCATGGAAACAAGTATCCCCGTTCCCGTACTGAATTGGCAAGATGTTTCCAATAAAAGTGCTGGTTTTGCTGAGTGTGTGTAATCTACACTTTTGTATTGTCTGTGGTGTTGGGTACTTGGGGTGCTTTTGGAGATCATACTGTTGCCTCCTGGAGTCGAAATCTTCATGCTGTGTCTCAGGCTGTGCCACGTGAAAGAACCACTTGGGATCATGCTTGGGTATACCCAGTCTGGGAGACCCACTGTGCAAAAAATAAGTTGGGATTAGACTGTCCTGTTCCAGCGTTTGATGCTGGAAGGGGAGACTGCTGCCACGTACTTACTTTTTTTTCCATCTGTGGTGGCTATGCTGCTGGAAAGAGGCTTTGACACAGCAAGACAGTCCCTGGGTGGCCCTGCTTGTGCAGTATAGACAGTGTGCAGGATCCCCTGGGAATGGGTTGGTTGTCTGCAGCGTGTGTCTCCTGAGCAGTCAGCCACACTGCACTGTGGCCAGAAGTCTAGTTAATGCCGGTGTATGAACAGATTTTGTCCATTTGAGTATTTTGTTTGGACACCTCTTGTGGCTCTGCTGAATACAGCGAATGAGGCTTTCAGACCCCAAGGTGGCTATACGTGTTGGCTTTTTAAAATTAATTTCTCAACTTCTGCCCTAAAAGCAAAGTTTGATGCATTCGTTTTGCCTTATTTTCCATCATAAGTGCTGCATGGCCTCATTTATTCTGGTTGTGGCTGGTGCTACATCTGCGATTTTGATGAGACTTGACTTTGGTTTCATTTTTTCTTCCCTGTGTGTCTTTCTTGCCCGTTCTGACCCCTTTTTCAGTATTTTGCATTGGGAGCTTGGTTCTGCTGCCTTGTTGTCTTTAACAAGCTGACCCTTGCAAGTTTTGAGCAGTCCAGTTCGTTATGTGGTCATACAGGATGGCAACATTGCCGACTATTCCAGATAGTCTCTCCCTTTGTCTTTTGAAAATGTAGATGATTTTTAGGTATGCAGTTGCCATGTTGCCTGTGCTGTGATGTTCTGTAACAAAGCAAGGGGAAAGGATCTGCTACTATTAATTAATCACTTCGGGGGTCACTGAAATGCCATTTAACTGTCACCTGATATTTCCTGCTGTCAGGACAGAGCTTTTTACAAGCTTCTCTGCTCTTTGCCTTGTGTGTCAAGAGCACAATGTGTCCAAGCAGTGCTTGGCTTGACTGTAGCAAGTGCTGAATCCCAGTTCAGCCACTGGACTATGTGAAACTTCCGGAATCATAAAAACTTACAGACAACAGAAATCTGTTGCTCTTGATCTCAGGGTAGAGACTGCAGAGTGCCCAGCGCTGACCCTACTATTCCAGTGCAAGCAGGGTCTGGCCTGTGCTGAGCAGCTGGCTGGCTCTCCTATTTTTTTTTTTTATTTTATTTTTATTGAACTTCACATATTTTTGATTGCTTTCAGTATTTCTCGCTTCAGTGCCACAGCTCAGCCTGCAAATAGCACATACTGAAATCTGCCATTCAGATACCCCAAGGACTTAATGCAATACCAGCAGTACGTTAGGAGGATGGCCCAGTGCCACTCACTTACTGGGAAACAATTAGTAAGAACATGATAAATGAGTCCATAAATTAAAAGGCACAGCACTGAAATGAGAATTAAAGATCCACAGGTAGGCAAAAAAAAAAAAAAGTGATTTTGCTTCTTATGTCACCTCTTCTGGCAGTGCAGTTAAATCGCAGTTCATCGCACTGGCGCGACGTGTGCGTGCTGCAGTTCGAGCAGCCGCAGGTCCTTTGCTGGGCGAGAGGGTGCTCAGGGCGCTGCTCGAGCCAGGTCTCCTCTTGCTGAAGCTTCCCCCTTCTGATAAAGTCTGCCCTCGGACACAGTACAAAGTACACTTCAGACAGTGCAGTAAATCAGTGGCACCTCTGTCCTTACACAGCGACCCAAATGAGCAGCTAATCCTGATGAAAGTCTTGCTACTGCTGGTCCTGGTCCAGCCATCCGACTTCATCCTGGGCTGGAAGTGCCCTGAGAAACCTCCCCACAACTGTCATCCCCGGGTGGCTGGGGATGCCACCTCTGCAATGCAGAAGACGAGGCCCCTAAGGAGCAGGAGCGGTTGCAGGTGCTGGGTCAGCCTGTGCCGGTGTGGCAGCATCTGCAACATCCCACCCTGGTCACCACACTCCCCGAGAAAGCCCCCTTGGTTTCAAAATTGCAAGAGCGGTGCTGCACAAGGGATGTGGTGCAAAGAATACACGGAGTTTAGGAAATAGGGGTTAGGGGTTTTTTTTCTGCAAGTCAGGTCCCAGGCTTTTATCTGGAAGTCGCTGTCACTGCAGCTTTGGGGTCGAGGAAGCTTGGCTGAAGGAGCAGTGATGCATAAAACAGGTTTTCTGTCTGCGTTTCCTGCCCTGCCTTTTCCTGGCCCTCATTTTTCTTAGTTACCATTCTTTTTCAGGATGTGTACCTTGGGAAAAGGGAGAAACACGAGAGCAACCTGAGTGGGCTGGAGCACAGGAGCGAGCGCTGCTGTCGGCAGCACTTTATCCCCTGCAGAGCAGAATCCTGCCATCAATGCAGGCAATACTAAGCTGAACAGTTCAGTAATGGTAGAACAGTTTAGGCTCTCATAGGAGTGAAAATTACTCCTGTGGCGACACTAGCTAGGATGGTGTTGGAAGGGCTGTTGAGGTTGGGTTTTGCTTTAAACTCACTGTATTCAAAAATCCCCAGTCAGGCCCAGGAAAGCGAGATTGGCTAAAAAAAGCAAGCCCTAAATACCACTGTCTCTTCCTTTATTTACTTCCTGCTTTCTGGGCCCTTGAAAAAGGAGATAAAATTCAGGCAGAGCTAAGTGAAGACACGCTAATGGGGCCGGAGCCATGATCAACCCAGGCAGCACCACATTTGGCCCAGCCTTTTCTCCTGTGTAGCATTGCTGTAATGCTCTTTAGCGTGTCTTCCAGCTGCTTCCTAATTCAAGCCACAGATGGTTTATATCTTATTTTTTATAAGTTATATTTATATAAAAGGAAAGGAATAAGTTCAGGCTTCACTGGTAGGTGTTAGTTATACCTGAACCCAGCATTTTTTCCTAGCGTAGCCAAAGCCAAACCTCTCGCTGTATCTCACCAAGTTCAGGGAAGCTGGTGGTCATCATCTGTGTTACAGCTGTGTTGGGGCACCGGCTTGATGTGACACAAGGGCATAATTGCAGAAGGATCTCATGGTCTGTATAAGCAAGGGAATTGAGAGGAGAGGGAGGGGTAACGAAGGAAGAGATGAGAGGGTTGTTCCAGGTCATGCAGCAATGGGAACGAGACCTGTTACCCTTGAGACCTTTGTGGGGTTGAATGCAGCTCCTGGCTTGGCTCATGTTCTCTGAGTACAGCCTCTGCTTGAACTGTGTCTTCTTGCTTGCGCTGGTGCTTTCTGCAGAAAGCAAGCCATGCTGGCCCGGTGGGGCTGGCTGGGTTGCAGATATTGGTAGCAGCCTTGACAGCCAGCAGCTCAAGGCAAGGTGAAAAGAGGAGGAAAGTGATGCTGGTAATGGCCTTTCAGGCACAATGTGGGCAGTGTGTGCAGCTCATCATCAGGTCAGGCTCCCGCTAGGGCTCAGATCTTGCAGTCCACGAAGCTTTTACACAGAGCAGCTTGTGGCCTGATTTTCCCTGCAGAGAACAGAACTCTTTTACCAACACTTAGCTACACATTTTCTGCTTCATACATTCCCTTTTCCTCCACTGCAGCAGGATTTGTGTGGGCACAGACACTGCTGCTGCGAACTGAGAGATCGGAGGAAGCAAATCAGTAGCCCCAATCAAAAAAGATTGATATTAAAATAAACCAGTTGCCAAAACAACGCCCTGTGTCAGCCGCATACTGGGATGAAATCCAAGGATATCTAAACTGGCTGAAATAGGCAGAGGATGTTGGTGCGTGGGAGTAATGTACTTGCGTTCCCCTTGGCATCTACTGCCTGGCCGGGCACAAACCTGTGCCCTGATACCTGGGAATAAAGTTCAGATGGTGTTGCTCAGGTACAGCAGGGATGGGCAACGTTAAAATAATAGTAGGTAGCTTTGCTTTTGCATGTTAGTGCCATACCAGTGCCATACCAGTGCTGTGAGGTACATGATATTGGCATTACAAACCCTCTGCAGTGCAGGATCTTGGGATATCCCACAGACACTTAATTCTGCCTTGTAGCACCCACAGAGGGGAGAAAACTGAAAGGCAGAGATTTTATCGTGACTTTTCAGCATCTCTCGGTTTGCCAGTCCTGAACATGTTAGGTCCATTTCCCTCCAATACATGTGTAAGGTCCATGTGAGCATGACTTTAAATTCTCCTTTTCTATATTTATGCACTAAAGGGTTAGGCCACACTTGGTAAACCTCAGGTTGGGATCTAAAAATCCAGACTTGCACGTTGTACAAAAGAAGCTCTGTTTTCACAGAGACTGAGTGCTCCCTGATCCACCAACACTGATTGGAGATGTAAGTGCTCAGCACCAGACTCCTTTCTTTCGATAGCCCTTACTTTAGTGTAACGAGTGTCGGCTGTATCCATTAGCAATAAAGTACAAGCTCAAATTTAGTCCCTGCCAGGCATGAAAATGTTTTCTTTATTTTTTTTTTTTGCATTAATGTTTCTATCTTGGAGATGTTTATTTAAGTCTAAACAGTTCAAGAAAACAAATATCCCCTTTCTAAGGTTGTTTTTTGTTCTTCTTACCTTGGTTATTTTGTCTTGATGTGAATATATGAAGTTGTGTATATTCACATCTGTATGTATGACACATGCTTCTGTTATTGCTGCTTGAATATGTCTGCCTGGATTTTTTCGTTGGGGTTTTTGATTTGTTTTTTTGAGCTACTTATTTTGCTTCTCTCAATCAAAGACTGCTCCTCCAGCCACGTCTCTTTGCCTGCTGTGGTGTTTGCTTTCTTTTCAAACCAGAGCTCCGATGATTTTTTTTTTTTTTTTTCATTCCAATCAGTTCTGAAAGGTTTTTGCATCTACCAGCCTTGTTTGCCTCCTTCCTCCCCTCGAGTTCATCTTGCCCAGCCTCTGTCTGTTGGTCTAATATTTTGATTTCCCTGTTTCAACTTTGTAGCAGATGTTGTTCAGTCTCATGGTGCCATCTTCATGGAAAGCGCGTCCCTGTCCACCCCTATTTCAGCCCCTCAGTTCAGGGGCTTCCGGAGAGCCAGTGAGATCAGCATTGCCAGCCAGGTCTCAGGAATGGCAGACAGTTACACTGCTTCCAACATAGCCAACAGTAAGTGTTTCACCCCTCCGAGACTACCGCTCGCTGCCGCACCGCTCTCTCAGCACCACGCACCGGGCCAGAGCCACGCAGCTTCTGTCTGTCTGTCTGTCTGGGGTTCTACTTTCTGTTTATAACAAAAAAAAAATTTGAATTATTCCGTCTTCACCCGGTTTTGTTGTAGTCAGTGCTGTGTGTTATCGTATCCCCTGGGGGAACAGATGATAATTTGATTATAATAACAGGGGCCACCGCTGTGTTATGCATGTTGGACCGTGCTGGTGATAAATTTAAAAAAAAAAAAAAAAAAAGGATAACTGAGTACCATTTGGCTGCTGTGTGTGGTGAGGGTTAATCCAAAGGGATGTTTCTGTGCTGCCATTGATAAGTCGTGCAGAACTGGCAGGGATCAGCATTGCCAGATTGATAATGCAGGATATGGTGTATGGCTTGATGCAGATCACTTAAATGTGGTCCACAAAAATGGGGACGAGGAAGCCCCCCTGTAATGCTGAAAAGGAAAATCAGGTTTGGGTTATTTATTACTTTGCATTAGCAATTCAGCTCTTCTGGAGCCCGCAGGGCAGCTCAGAGAGTCAGCCAGTTATGACCCATATCCCAGAGCCAAATGAGGAATAAAAGGGATTTTTTTGTTATTTTTCCCAAGACGTCTATAACTTCCCAGCTAATACAGTGGAGAACAAGAACCTTTGTTAATGGTTCAGCCCCTTCTTCATTTCAGCTGAAGTGTGAGATTAACAATCTGCATCCTCCGGGACCTCTGATAACTCAGACAGAAAAAGGCTGAAAACCGAACAAATTAAAAAACAACAACAAAAAAAACCTTCATCCCAAACTCTTGTCCCAGAAGGTGGCAAAAATTTAGAGATGCTCCATTCCCGGCACATTAGACTGCAGGGCTACAAACGACTCACTTCATAATTAATTGCTGAGGTTAATAACGCTCCCTGAGGCAAGTGTTAGTTGCTGAAGGTCAGGGGATGCTGTAACTTCTTGCCCTGTTTGAGGTGACGTTCGGCAGCAGAAATAAACTACCTGCGCTCTGACACATGAGGTTTTCTTTCCCAAAGCTCATCCGAGAGCTGACGCCGCGCTCCCTGCGTGCGTTTTTGTATTTGTCCTGGTAAGACATCTTGCCAAGCGCTTGCTAAATGCTGATCTGCTTTGGAAGAAGGCTCCTGGGGGAGAAGGTGTTTGTTTTGTGCTGGTTTCACACCCACGGAGAGCTGCCGAGCTCGGCCGGCCGGGAGGGGAAGCGGGGGGCGGCGGTTGTTCCTTATGAAGTGTTTACGCTGGGGCGATGCCTAAAGGTCCGCATGACGCGACGGAGGGATCCTGCCTCTGTGAGCTGACGGCAGGATCAGGCCCACGCAACGCTTGCCTCTCTCTGCTTTCCCCGCGCTCTCCTTGATTATTTAGCTTCTGGCTTGTGTAATTTATTCCTCCACGCACTTCACAGCCATCAAAACCCGTTTCTGAGATCGGAGAGGAAGAGTCCAGCCCCGGCGTGGACTGCCCACGCACCCTGACCCCGCGTGCAGCCCGCCCCAAGGGCTGTCGCAGCCCCTTCCTCCACCTTCCGAGTGCCGACGTGTCCTCTGAGCCCTGGCTCCGGCTTTGCAGCTCTTGCTCTCGACCTTAGTAGCGCCGTGGTAATGTGAAGCTGCGGCACTGAGGGTTGGGTGTGGTCCATGCTTATCCCACAGGGAGAGCCGGAGGAAGTCCGGGGGGGCACTGCAAAACCATGGCTCCCTCCCGGGAGCCCTCCCTAGGGTGCAGCTTCCCTTGCACTGTGAATTTCTGGAGGATGAAAGTGGTGTTGCCTGCAGCATGTGTGTGCTGTAATACTAAGTGTGATTTCTGCTTCTTTTTATTTTATTTTTCCTTTTAGAAACCAAACACAACCTTAATAATTGCAGAGGGTTTAGCCTTCTGTCCCAACTTGCCCTCCCTCACAAATCCCCTACCCAAACCTCATCCAAGAGACGTAGGCAGCATAAACATGAAATCCCTTCGAAGGGAAGAAAGCTCAAAGGGCCATGGAGTCAGGCTGCAGACTGTGCTCTTCGGATTCCCAACCTGGACATCAAGACAGGTATTCTGGAGACAGCCACTTCGGTCGACTTCCTTTGTCATTCGATAGTCACAGAACTTCACAAGAAATCTATGCGCTTTCACTGAGGCACTTGCAATTTCTGATTGCATTTTAACAAGTATTTCTGTCACTTTGCTCCAAAGATCGATCATAACACGGCTAACAACTTGGCAAGAGCAGGAGTTCTTCTGGGCAGAGCTGTGGGGATAATGCTTCTGCCTCCATCGCTGTCTTCTGAGCATGGAAGAGTAAATCCTGTCTGCTTCTTACAAAGAATCTGAAATTACCCAAGCTGGGGACTTGCATGAGAAATGAAAGGTTGGGACACGACCAGGAGCTGCCAATTTGGAAGACAGGGAGTCAGAAATGGCTGCGAGGAGGTGCCTGTGTGCGCTGGAAAAGCCATGTTGATTCGTCAACGCCCTCTTCCTCCTTCCCATGGCTCTTCAGAAAAGCAAGGGCCATTAGGATGGGGGTGGCCTGGGGGCACTTGGCACAGCCAGGGCTGGGCCATGGGGATGTGCTTGATGCCATAACCCTCTGCATGTTGCTGTGGTGGGAGCTTTGTGCAGGTCTCTGGAAGGAGCTGGTGGGTCCATTTTTTTCAGTTCAGCATCTGTGCTCGTCACCAGATAGATTTCCCTTAACAAGAGGGGTTGTTGGATCGTACCTTATACCTGGCAGCTTTCCTGGAAGTCCGTAAAAAGGAAACATTGTCACAGAGAAAAACCAAATCTGAGAAAGCCCTTGGTCAAAGCACCAGCTTGCAACATGCATGCAAACGCAGCTCCTCCTGTTGCTCTCTTGATCTGATCCATCTTCTCCTTCCGTTGCCGCTTTCCAGGCCAGAATGCGTAGGGGTTGAGGACCCCTCACTGCTGGGAAAGCAGCCCACGCCTTTGGGGTCTGAGGCTTTGGACTGAGACGTGCTCATTGCTAGGGAGTCGGAAAGGGCGCGTGCGTGGGTAGAGTTCGGGGCAGTACTGAAGTGTGGTGGTGTCCCATGGGTGGGTGAACAGTGGCTGTCGCTCACTTGTGTGCAAGTTGTTGACTCCCTGGGGGAGAAACTTTTCTGCATTGTCTGTAACCTTGCCTACCCAAGTCCCGGTGTATTTTTCAGTGCCACGTGCAATGGAGTCCTGGCACTCCTGGACACTTTTCTTGTCGGCCACTGCAGAGGCATGCTCCTGGGGACGCTGGGCTGGACGTCTCGGTTGCCTGCAGTATGGTAGCCCAGGAAGGCATCCAGGACTTGTTGGGAACTGCCAATCCCAGCACCACATGCTCTAGCATCCTGCCTTGTGGTGCCTTTTAGAATCTCACGTGGGCTCCCAGTATTCATATCCTCTTTAGTGTGGCCAATATCTGGATGCTAAAGAGTCTTTTATTCTTTGGTGAAAGCTAAAGGAGTTGGATGCGGGGCTGGAGATGGCCTGGGCCTGTACTGTGGTGAGCAGAGCACACGCCCCCTTCCTCCCACAGCTCCAGGGAGATGAGTTTCTGTCTTATGTTTTGGCACATGGATTCCCAGGCTTATTCCATGTGAGCCTTGGACCCCTTCCCCAGGGTCTGGACTAACGGCCAATTAATACCTGCCCTCTAGTGCCTTCCTATTTGCTTAAACAAAGGAAAGCTCAAATGGTGGTGCCCCTGTGTGTTCCTCCCTTGGTTTGAGCAAACACTGAGCCCTCGGTCGGTTGTTCCCTCTAAGCAGTGTGACCAGCCAGGGAGCAACCTCCCGGCACACCTGGAGCAAGGAGCCAGAGCCTCGAAACACCGTTTGTGGCGGAGACCGTGCGCGCCTGTGAACCCCCTTTGTCTGAATGAGTCTCTTGCTTCTAGTTGCTGCCAAGTGGTGGGGAACCAAAAGGATCGACTACGCTCTCTACTGTCCTGACGCTCTGACGGCTTTCCCGACGGTTGCTTTGCCTCACCTCTTCCACGCGAGCTACTGGGAGTCCACAGATGTTGTCTCCTTCCTGCTGAGACAGGTACAGTCGTTCTCCCTCCCCTGATCTCCCTTGGGCTGAAAAATATGTTGGGGTCTTTGTTTTTTCCACTGCACCTTCCATAACTTTTGTTGACGCATGGGGATGAAAAAATACCCTTTGCTACTGTAGATCCATTTTCTTCCCCTTCTTTTTGTCCGTCACCTGTGGTGTTAGCAGAGCTGCACACATGCAAACTTCATGGACGTGTGCTGTCACGCCTGGTTAGTTTGGGTCTGGGTTTTATCATCAGAGCAGGTTTCAGATGGGCTCACCAGGGAGCCATGGAGTGAGCCTAGGGCCATTTCCTATCAGATCACAGTGGCAAGAGTCGGTGGCACTTGTTTCTTGAAGTGAGCTGTTCTCTGTGTGTGCAAGTTTGGATCTCAAGTCTGAAACTTCAAGGAAACTTCTCGATGTACAAATAAAAATAGCACCAAATACAATAAAACCAAAGGAGAAGTTTTGTATAAATTTGACGTGAGTTGACAGACAGGGTTGGGCTCTCCATTTTGGCTTCCTGAGTTATTGTGGTCTCCTCTAGGAACTCAGACCATCATCACTGCATTGGGATTTAGCCTTCGATCCTCCAGTACAAAGCAGTTCTCCTGGGGCTGGGTAAATGGGGATTGCTGGTGTCTGGAGTCTGACGTCTCAGACTCTATCAACCTACATTTGGCCTGAGATTTAAATTTACTGTTTAAAATGTGTTTTTCCTAAAAGAAATATTTTTCCTTCAGTTCCTTGGGGATGAGGGGGAGTTATTTGCCTTACAAAGTATGAACCCCACAAGGAACGGTACTTAGAGCACAGAACAGGAAAAAACAAAACTAAAAGCAACTCTGTGGATTGTGTTGCCCGCTTCAGCACTTGGGTTTGCTTTGTGTTAGCTCAGCTGTTAAGCCGTCCCTGCTCTCTTCCAGCCTCCTCGACTGCAGCTCTCAATTATTTATGATTCTGTTGGCAAACTTTTGTTCAGTGCTGTCTTCCAAATAGTGTGGGAACCATAAACAACAGAGATGTCAGTGCTGGTGGCAGCTGAGCGGTAGCGATAATCCAGTGAAACCCTTTCTTCCTGGGCTGTATCTAGCCCAGCGAGACATCTCTGTGCTTGCATGCACCTTGCTGGATCAGCTGCTGTGAAACCCCAGCCCTGCATCGAGCTCAGCCTAATGGGGCTGGAGAGAGAGAGACAGACCTGTAATTGTGCGTGAGTGGGAACAGTCACGACAGTCTCATACACAAAATGCTCTGCTCAAGAAATAGCCAATTACTCGGGATTCAGCCCAAACCTGGGTCTGTAGCACAGCGTGGCGCTTCGTATCTTGTGGCTTGAGGTACCTCTCCATCCATTCAAAGCCTGCCGGTGGCTGCCTGGGTAGTCTGGCACCCCCCTTCTCTGGTGCCTGTCTCTACTCACTTATCTCCATCTTGAGACTGGGATTTTTCTCATTCCCTGTTGTCTTGCAGTCCTTCCAGAGCACCATGCCACTTCTTCCCCTAATAAGGACTTGTTTCTAATCGCCTTTGAAAGTTAGCTCTGGACAAAATGTAAAAGTAAGCTTTGAATAGTTTTAGCCTCCAAAGATTAAAGCTAATTAAAGCAAGCCTAGATAGGACTCGAAATAGATTCCTGATTTAAATAAGTTTCAGTAAAACTTGTTATTTTGTTTACCTTGGATTTCTATGAACTCCCTCCCCAGCAAGCTCATCCTCCCTAGGGTCCTTTTTCCATTTCCCTGGAAGAAAAACAGCTTCAGCTCTGCAAAGCGAGCTGCCCTCTGTCAGACCACCACAGCCTGGGTCAGCTGGAGAGCTGCTCACCACACAAAAATGTTCAAGACCTTGTAAAAGAGCCTATGTTTAAGAGGCTCCTTAATTTTTTGGAGGGACAGGGTCACTAAGGACTACTGCTGATTTCGGATTTCTCTGTGCAGGGTCACCTCCCAGTCTTACAGCAGTCTTTGAGATGTCCCCTCGCCTTTGAGGTCTGTGGTGTTATTCTTCCCTTTCCCTTCTAGAGCTTAAGAGCAGTCTAGGTAGGATCTAATCCTGCTTCTCCATCCCTGCCCACACCCTGGTGACAGGCAGGAATTGCCTCCAAAAGGCTGGCTGGTGGGCATCACCTTCCCCCTCTGATCCTTGCTCTGGTGCAGTGACTTCCCACCAGCACAAAGACCTCGAGCTCTGTCAACCTCGGAGATGAGATCAGGATGGACAGACACCCTGGGCACTGCCTTGCGCGTGGCCGAGCCGGACCCCTGCATGCCTCCGCCAGGGTCAAATCAATAGTTTTGTCTTCTCTCAAAATGAGAAGAGCAAAAGCCATGGGACAGGAGCAGTCCAAAATATGTTTAAATAGAAATAAGAAATGAGCTGAAGGAATGGTATCTGTCTGCATGAGGCTGGTCAGAGCAGCCAGTGCCAGATCTGTTGTGGGAAGAGCAGAGAATTTGTGTTTGAAGGAGACCGGTCCCTTGCAGACCATGGGAGGAGACTAATGAACACCTTGAGGGAGGACAGATAGCTAAGCGCAGAGCTCATCCTGCTGTGTTTGAGTCAGTTCTGTATCTCCTGACAATCTAAATAAGCCGCATCCCAGCCGGGATTAAGTCAGCGCTGGCCGCAGGCTTTGCTAGTTCAGAAGAGCACACTTGTCCTTGCAATTAAGGGAACAGTCTGTAAAACCTGCAAGCTGACAAGCCGAACACCCAGCAGGCAAACTCCGGCCGCCTCTGTCCAGGCATTGCCCTTACTTGGATGTAGAACAGCGTGGGCAGGAGGAGGGGGGTCACTGCACAAGCGGCTGATGTGTCGGTGGGATCTGTCCTCCCGCAGGTGATGAGGCACGAGAACTCAAGCGTTTTGGAGCTGGATGGGAAGGAGGTGTCTGTCTTCACCCCCTCCAAGCCCCGCGAGAAGTGGCTCCGCAAGAGGACGCATGTGAAGCTCCGGGTAAGGGTGTTTTGGGGCTGCGGCAGGGGGAAGCGCTGTTGTGTAGAGGGGTTTTGATTTGGGCTGCAAGAACGGCACTGAAGGCAGCCAGCGCGGGCACGGCTGTGTGTGTCCACAGCAGAGACAGAGGCTCGCGTTGCGCTGCTGGTATGTATTAGCGATTATATCCTACCTATATAGCTGTGAAAGAGTGCCCCAAAATATCTGGACCGGCAAGGTCTCTTCTTGGCCTTGAGTCTATGTAAAATACCGAAAGCATTGGCTGCAGGTCAGGAATGTCTTTCAAAGTCCAATAATGCAAGTTCTCTGCTTGGTAAACGCCCTTCGCTCCCAGGAAATGTCTTCAATTCCCGAAAGAGGGCAATTCTCTGTTAGAGCTGAAACAACGTCAGCAAATTTCTCTGGCAGCTGCTTGTATTGCCTCTTAAATCCAAAGTGTAAGAGTTAATAGACAGTATCAGAATTGCATGTACAAACTGCTATCGAAATTGGCTCTTCAGCCATATACGCTCAAATCCACCCCGTCAATGTGGGGCACGGAGTCTCACCTCCGCCACATGTCAGATTCTTCTCTAAAGCTGAGAGCTGTGGGTGGAGGGGGTGGGGAGTGGCAGAGAGAAACCCATGCTCCAATTTGTCTGGTTATATTTGGGATTTCCCTGTGAGGCTGTCCATCACTGCAAACTTCTTTCTTTTTTTTTTTTTTTTCCCGTTTTTCCTCTTTCACTT